AAATAGGAAAAATATACACAGAATGTGTGTTGATAATAATCCTGTTTCTTGTTTTCAACCCCATTGTCACGGATTCCGGCTTCACTAATACTCAATCGACAAACAGTGATAACTTTATTAGATAAACTGACTATGTAAGCTTCACATATTGTCAACTACTTTAAGTAAATACCACTCTGTACATCAATTTTACTAAAGTGTGTCGACGAGTCAGCATTTATTTGGTAGGTATAAATACCGCGCCGAAATCCATTACCGGCAGACTAAGCTAAGTGCGAAGTACCCCAAATGGGAAAAGCCCCTCTAGCTAAGTCTCCTCTCAGTGTAAACTACCTTTAATGGGAAACGCCTTTCTGGACCTGTCTCAAACCCAGCTTCAGTCTTCAGTCACGCCAAGTGTACAGAGTGTACATAATACAGAGTGGCCTATAGGTAGTACGTGCCTCCGTAGAAGAGACGTCATGATACTATTTCTAGGGTAATATTATTATTATTCAATACAAATATTATTGTACCTATATCAAGCGAGTTTCTGTCTACCTGAACCCAACCTATGCCCCCAGGTCACGCTCCTGTTGTGACGTTTCAGGGCGAAACGTATAGGGGTTGTGACATATTTGGTGGAGGCGCCGTTTCGACACCCAGGCACCAGGACTCAGAAACAGCAGTACAGAAGAAATAACGCAGAATCTTGACGTCACCATATTGGGGAGAAAAAAAAAACAGGGCATATATAATTATAAACAAATTTTAGTGACCCAGATAATTTGCCAATAGAAGCAAACACGGATACGCTGACGACGAATTGTTTATAAAACTAGGTCACTAAGCAAAAAGCACAGACAGCGAGAAGCAGAAGATTCCTGATATAGTGGCGAAGGCGTTTTTAATAGAACCATTTTTTTTTTTTTTTTTTTGTTTTTCCATTTTTGATGAGACGTACCATTGAAGTTTCTCTGCAAAGAGTGCAAAGGCACTACAGCACCTAAAAAAAAACAAAATATTAGCATTTTTTATTACGAATGCCCGAAGATGAGCCTAAGAAGTATAATCTAAGATCATTAAACACAGAGGCATCACCGTTCAGGCCAAGACATAAGAGCACGGTAATCAGGGAAGAAATTGTCCCGGCAACATAAAGACAACCACAGAGGACACCTTTTTGTCTTGAAACTACAACTAGTATAAGTGGAGGAGGTTCCCTATTGGACGTATTTGACGATCCCTCAAATCTTACCCTTCAAGAACCGCTAGTCAACCAACCGCCAGAAGTTGCAAATCAAGAACGGCAAACGAGCCCTGTGCAAGAAACTAGCCTCGAAAGACCGAGATCTACTACACCAACGCGAAAAATGGCCAATATAACAATTAATGATGCAATGTTAACGGCAAAAAAGGCGAAGGTACCAGAGTTCATCCATCCCCCGACTTTCCATCCATGCAAATTCAGGGCCACAGAATTTCTAAGGACCTATGAAAGAACGGCTATAGCGAACGGATGGGACGAAAAATTAAAAATTGCATATTTTGAAACTTCACTGGACGGAGCAGCCAATCTTTGGTTCCAACAATATAAACAGGATAACGATTATCATGGATGGAAAGAGATCACGGAGAATTTTAGAAAAGAATTTGAAGATGTAGATTATCAGAAAAACCTAAAAAAGAAAGTGGAAAGCAGAAAAGAAGGAACCGATGGAACGGTGAAGGAGTAACTTTTTGAGCTACTGGTACTCTACCATGATTATAAGGACAACATTAATATTGAGGAGTTTACAACAATCTTTAGCGAAGGATTAACAGAAGAAAGCTTCTTCTACTATTATTGGCTTACGAATTCACCCAATAACCCTCCGCAGACACTGGATGAGATAAAAGAAATCGCAGGGACAATAGATAGAGCGCCAAAGAAGAAAGAACATAGAGCCTCACCGGAAAACGAGACTTCAGAAACAGATACACCGCCAAGAAGATATAACAGTAGTTTTCAGATACGACCACATTACGGCCGATTACCGTAAGGACAAAACTGTTATAAATGTGGAAAATTAGGTTCATCTTGCAGTGGTTTGCAGAAGCCCACAACAAATAGCCGAATATCGAACAAACCCAACATATTTCAATTGTGGCAAAATAGGGCATGTTGCGAAAGCATGTAGAAGTACACCACAACAGTCAAGTCATTACAACAATCCTGTTCCTGTATGCCAAAATTATGGAAAAAAGAGACACATAGCAACAGTGTGTAGGGGCCAACCACAGAGGGCCCAGTACTATACGATACGGAGCAACCGGAACAGTCCTGTATGTCACAACTGTGGAAGACAAGGACATTTGGCGACCAACGGCAACACCCAAATGGCAAGGGATGGCAAGGGATGGCAAAACTAGATGCCCCAACCATCCTAACCTTTCATCACATCACGATTGAAATTAATGAAAGAATGATGCAGGCAATAATCGACACAGGAGCCCCAGGATAATGTATGGCACAGGGATATAATACAGGGAGAAATATCAGAAAATAATGATATATCCTGTTCACAATCCGATGTCCACAGGTGCAGGTAAATTTATCACCTTTCCCTATCAAATAGCATTGAAAGGTGATTTTACCTGTACCTACCTGTGGACATCGGATTGTGAACGGATAATACAGTCCTAGTTACTGCAGGAGGACACAAGATAAAAGTTTTAGGAGACACTAAAATCCCAATAAGAATACTAGGAAGTCCAATGTGGAGTGGGAAACTGAACGCCAAAGTTATTTCATCTCTTACACAACCTATTATCTTAGGAATGGAGTTTTTATTGAAAAATAAGGCAATTTTAGATCTCCCACACAAAGAACTAATTTTAAATGGAAAACATAGGGCCCTTAGGGCACACAAACACCGAAAAAAAAAACTATGATGGGCCTAGTCACAACAAAACAGCCAGTCAAAGAGAAGCAGCCTAGCCCTAATTTGAGAATAGATAAACTGGAGTTCAATAAATTCATAAAAGGCCACACTAACATAACAGCTGACCAGGTCAACGGTTTCTCAAAGAAAGAAAATGGAGATATAGGCACCCTACCAACAAAGGCCGTTTTAGCAGTAGGTGTAACCCAAGAATACAAAGCGAAAAAGGTAATTCTTAAGAAATACAGGTATTTGCTTCCTAGAAACAGGCAAAAGGGGACCATAGGAGAGTTAGCGATAACAAAACATGGGAAACAATCGGCAGTTTTTCTATTCACAAGAAAATCGATGAGAGAAAAGCCAACTCCAAGAAATATATATAAATGTCTAGGATCAGCATCACAGGAAAATCGGTTGAAAAATTAGTTATCCCAAGACTAGGATGGGGATTAGGAAAAGAATGGGCAAGATTCAAACAAATGTTATATATTCTATTTAAGGGCACGGGTGTCACGGTTCTGATATACAGAGATGGACCAAGTCATAAAATAGAAGAAAAACCCGAAAAGAAAAATCAGTAATACATCGCAATTAAATATTATATATCGCAAGGTACACAACAAATCTCGTATTTGAACTGAATACAACAACACTTTTATTTAGACTGACTAAAATACTATTACACGCTATTTATAGTCAATATCGTACTCCCGATCTATCTGAAACTTTTTTTTTTATCAAATATAATAGAATTCCCAAAAAAGACGTGCTTCCTGACGCGAACAACTTATTTCCTAGAATCCTGATCGGGTTGTCGATGCCCTTTCGTAACAATATATACGAACTGGTTCAAAGACAAAGCTATCCAACTGCAAACCTGAAGCTAAATTATGGCTGAGGTATGTCGATGATATTTTCATCGCATGTTAACATGAAGAAAGTAATTTAAACCATTACTTGAACTACAGCCGCCATCAAATATACTATATATAGGTATGAAACGAAAGGCAGTTTACCATTTTTAGATCTATTCACACTCGCTACAAGAAACGCCATATACATCAATACGAGCGTCTAAAGGAAATCCGCTCTCACAGGACAATATCTAAATTTCAACAGAAAAATTACAAAAACAGGAATCGTCAATTCATTATCATTAGATAAAGCAGAACATATATGCAACACCAATGCAGCTAGAATGCAGGGCTTAAACACCAAGAAATATATAATATAGAATGGATACTCGGATACTTTTCTAAGGGGTACCAACACTAAAAATCATACATACATCAGAGGATTCTCAGAAAATGTTAAAAGAATTGGACCGAAATACAATATTAGAACAGTCTTCAACTTAAACCTGATGTTAACCAAAAAATTAAAAAAAAAACACAAATTGTACATCAAAGGTACCCTGCGAACGCGGAGAATCATAGTATAGGAGATACAAGAAAAAAAAAAAAGTACGAGTACCTAACAGAACGTAAGACCACAACCAATAAACTCACGTAAAAATCATATAAACAAAGGACAACACTGGCTAAAACGTAAACTCAAGGACATAGAAAATTCGAAGAATATGGAGACCCATTTTTAAGAGTCAATATATCATTAAACTTGCAACCTTAAATTTCAGGAAATTAGGATTGAAATTGTAGCAAAAGTAAGAAATTGTATCAGTTCGTTTGATTATCAAGCCTTGATCACAACCGGAGATACTTCGACATAAACTTCACCTATCGCTGTTACTTCTGCTACTGACCTTTTTACTCAAAACTAGTCAGAAGACTCAAAAGCTATCCAGTTTATGTGGAAAAATAACCTCTTGTAACATGTACCTTAATAAATAATAAGCTTCTTTGTCTATGACACAACCGATGCCTTAACAATAAGTTTGTGATTTCCTCAGAAGCACTTTCTTTTCCACAATCAATCAAACAAATGTTTCCATGAAATGTGAAAGGATATTGATGTGTGCATTTTTCAAAGGGAAAATCCACCCTTTCAGCTTTTATAATGATTGCTGAAATACAGTTGAAAACTATGCAATTAATCGGAGTAATCCTCTGTATAATTATTTATTTTTTATATATCTAGGGGAGTATCAACTAGAATGGTTACAGCTGCCTGGTGGTTCTTTTCCCTTATAATGACTTCGTCTTATACCGCTAACATGGCCGCCTTTCTGACCATGTCCCGTATGGAGTTGACAATTACAAGTGCTGAGGATTTAGCTGCTCAAAATAAAATTAAATATGGTTGTCTTGCCGGTAAAACGACTCTTAATTCAAATGAAATGGATTATGTTAATGTTTAATTTCTTAGGCGGATCTACTTGTTCCTTTTTCAAAGACACCAACTTCTCCACTTATCATCAAATGTGGGTTCAAATGGAGTCGGCAGATCCAACCGTATTCGAAACTACTAATCCGGATGGTGTCAAACGGGTTTTAACCAGTAAAAGGAAATACGCTTTCCTGATGGAAAGCACAAATATCGAGTACGAATCGGAACGCAATTGCGATTTAATACAGGTCGGCGGACAGATTGATTCAAAGGGATACGGGATCGCTATGACTGCGAGTAAGTACATAAACCTGTTGATCCAAAGGGCAAAAAGAAATTCGGAAGAGTTGAGGATTTATTTTAATGAATTATGACTCGTATATAAATAACAAAATAGTAGAACTAGAGAATTTTTATTTGATTTTTTTGAAAATATATCAATGACAAATATATACTTTCTCCAGATTTCCAATATAGAAAATCATTTAATGAAGCCATACTCAAAATGCAAGAAGGAGGAGTTTTGGATCTACTAAAGAATAAATGGTGGAAGGAAATGAATGGCGGTGGGAAATGTTCCGTAAGTGAAATGATGATATTGTGCAAAACTATTTTATATTTTATCCGGAAATCTTTGTAGGAAGAAGAATCATCTGAAGAAGATGAACTAGGTTTGGACAATGTGGGAGGCGCATTTGTAGTACTGGCAATGGGAATTGGGCTAGCATTGATTTTTTCTCTTTGCGAATTCCTTTGGATGGTCAAGAAATTGGCGGTTAATGAACATGTAAGTTAGACATCAAAAGTTTCAATTTTTCTTCCAAATTCCATTATGCTCTATACCTAACCTAAACTACAAAGTGTGAAAACCATAGATTTGTAAGCGAATTTACTTATCCTTTTTTCCAGATTTCATTCAGAGTAGCATTAGAGCACGAATTGAGATTTGCCATAAATATCTGGGCAAGACAAAAGAAAGTCAAAAGAGATCCGTTACCTATTGTCGACAAAAGTGACCTCAAAACCAAATAAAGTAAATTATATTGCAGAATATTTGTAGATTTATTTGATTCATCCCCCAGAAGTTATAATTAACATAAAGTTTTGCACTTTCTCAAAAAAACAGTTGAGTGTAGGTACACGCTTGTCATTTTCATCTGGAAAATATTCTGATTATTTATTTGTAACTTATGGCAGAGTGGAAATGTTTAATTTGGAATAAAAAATAACTATAAAATCCGGCATGTTAAAAACAGAATTCGGGGTAATTTACCAGAGCTTTACCTAGGAAAATCGTGCTGAAATATAAACCACTAATAAATACAGCTCATGAATATTTCATATGGTAATTATTGTTTTTGGTTGGCGGAAATGCCAAATAACCAAATACTCCTATGCTTAAATTTGAAAATCGTGTATAGGCACAGTTTTTTGTGAAGCCTCATTTTGCATTTGAATAATTTACTGGACTTCAAAAATTTGGCTTTGAAATGGAATATTTGAATAAAAAATTTTGAATATCGAACAGCACCAGTTATTTGCATATTTATATTCAAATGAGTGATTTCTGGACAAAATTGGATTCTTTGAATACAAATTAAATTATAAAAATCTCTATTCTAATCACCCACATTGAAGAGACAAATTTGTGAAAATCGCTGAAACACTTCAACAAATTTATTGAGGGGGAATGTTTTTTGCGTAAAACCTCCTCAATAAGTTTATTGACGGGTTTGAATGATTTTCACAAATCAAGGTATCTCTTCACGCAGGTAACGTGAGTTTTCAAATGGGAGCCCTGTATATTGGGATCTTCAATCGCTTCGCCTTGAGTTCCCTTATGCGGGATTTCTATTCCCAAATCAAATATTTATATTCAGTGCATTGTTGTATTTCTTGCTATCCTCCTCCTATGTTCATACATTTGTTTTCATCAAATTTACTTCCTAACGCGATTTCTCGTATTCCGCCATCAATTTACATGTCATGTACTCTAGGCCATCAGAATCCTGTGCAATGAATACTTGGTCATCTGCTTTTATTTATTGAGTTTTTTCGAATGTTCAGTAGGTTATTCACTTATTTCTCCATCCGACACGATCGATCATAAGCTCCGTGCCATTTACGATGCCCAGTTTTCTCAGATCCGCAGCAATGTTGTCCCGCCATCTCAATCTGGGTCTTCCAAGGGGCCTTTTCCCCTCTGGGGCTTTCTGCCGTGCCAGTCGTATTAGTTTTTCTTCGGGTTGCCTACGCACGTGTTCTGCTCATCTAAGCCGTTGAGTCTTTATTATGTTACACGCAGATATATTGGTTATCGTATAGCTCTCTCAGCTCTGTATTCGTTTTACTTCTGTTTTGCTGCGTCTGTAGGTCCTTTGTCGGGCAGTATATGTTCTTAAGTATTCGCTTTTCGAATCTACGGATGACTTCTTCATTTCGTACCGTTAGCGTCCACTGTCCACGATTCGCAGCTGTACATGATGACAAATCTGATGGCGGTTTTGTATGCTTTGATTTTGGATCTTCTATTAACTTCTCTGGATCCAAATTATGTTTTTAAAGGCATAGAAGCAGTTGCTTGCGGTTTCGAGTCGGTACTTTATTTCCTCGCTGATTTCGTCGGCTGTGAGGATCGACCCCAGGTATTTGAACTGCTTGAAGTCTTCAAAGTTGTACTCCCCCTCTGCCTGACTTATAGATATGCATGTATTTAGTCTTGCCTTCGTTGATCCTGAGATTCATTTTAGCCTCGTGCTCTAGTTTAACAAACGTTTCTTTGCTATTTATTACGCTGGTTTCCACAAGTCAATATCGCCCGCATAAGCAAGTATTAGTTGCGAACCATTCGATTGGAGGAACTCTATTTCGAGTTTGGATTCTTTTACGACCTTCTCCAAGGCAATATTGAATTATTGAAAAGAATCAGGGACAGCAGGTCACCCTGCTTTCATCCTAGATTTACCCTGAATATGCTCCAATCACTCCCAACTTTCACTCTGCATCTGGAAGCTTCTACACAAACTCTTGTTGGTCTTATAATTTTATGAGGTATTTCGAAATCTGCCAGGGCCAGATTTTAACTCTTTTCACACTATCATAGGCCTGTTAGAAATCTATAAAGAGTTGGTGGATTTGCTCATTACCAGCTTTTTTCTAGTAGCTCTTATTGTTAACAGTTGGTCGGTTGTTGAAGGATTTGTCCGGAAGCCGCACTATTATCTTTTCTGTAAATGGGGTTATTCTCGACAGGATTATGAACTTGTTATGCTACGTTTATAAGCAATATTCCTCTATACTTTTTGCATATCATTCTGTCTCCTTTTTTGTGTAAGGAGATTATTATGATTTCTTTCCAGTCTTCTGGGATCTTCTCGATTTTCCATATAGTTCTTATGAGTTCGTGTAGTTGGGATGTGGCTGTGTTTCCGGCATGTTTGAAAAGTTCGGCGGTTATCGTGTTTTTACCCGGAGATCTATTGTTTTTTAACTTTTTTATAGCGTTCTCAATCTCCATTCGAGAGGGGTATTCTTCTCGCATTTCCGTAGTTTGGAAGCTGGCCGGTTCTTCGCTGTTTGTATAACCTTGTTTGAGTAGTTTTTCAAAATACTCTTTCGATAATTGGTCCGAGTCCGCGTCAGCCACTCGACAGCTTCTTACATCCAGGACGTTGCTGCCATGCCTTGTATTAATTACAAAGTGATCAATTTGGTTTTTGGTTCTACCGTCATTGGAGGCTTATGACTCTTATGGATATCTTCATGTTCATACATTGTAGGTTTAATACGGAGGTTGTTGGATAATGCTAGTTCCGCAAGTCTTAGCACATTATCATTTGAGAATATGTGTGGGCTTTTTGTACCCCCATGCCGCTTCTCTTTCTATGTAGTTTGGCATTAACATCACCCAAAATAAGTTTCATATACTGTTCAGATAGTGCGCCTATTTTGCTCTCCAGGTGCCGTAGCACTAGTCCTTCTCTGATTCATCTTTGTCTTGGGTTGTTGCGTGTACAGAAAGTAAGACGCAGTTATTGAATGTTCCTCTCATCCTTAGGTAGCATAATCGTTTGATCGACTGTTCAAATTTTAGGACACTGGATTCCAATTCATTAATTAATAGGTATGCATTTGTTTGCCTTTTTCATTTATTCAATTCAATCTCAGAAGTGGTGACTGGGAACTAAAACAAATTTTAGACCAATTTCTCCCCGTTTTGTTGTAACCACAAATGTTGTGACCAGACCTGACATGTTGAATTTTTCGTTATTCAAGTGGCGGAAAATATGAAAATAGTTTAATGGAATGTACATTTGAAAAAAAAAAGAAATATATTTTTAAACCCGGTACGCACAGATCACTTACCTTTGAAAAGGGTAACTGTTGGTTCTCTGGACTCTGGGTACTGGTCCAAAATGAAGAGTGTTGACTGTAGCAGAGTACTCTGTTGCTTCTTAGGGCAGTAAAATAGGGGCAGTTTCGTTGTAGTGACCGAACCGTCCGATACGACACGAATTTGTACGGGTCATGTAGCGAGTGTAGTTGTCTACTCTGCGGCCGAGAATATATTATATTTAAAATCTCGGATAAGGCAGCATAAAAATGCAGCTGCTCCTAGCAAGTGACGTGTGCGCATATGATAAATGATAGCGGTATTTTTTGTCAAAAGCTCCATGCCTAGGATTATCGGTTGTGTTAATGATGAAATCAATACTTTGGCGTTAAGTATGCCTAGTATATCTATTGGAACTTCAATGTCTCCCAAAACTTTTATCTGGTGTCCCCCTGCAGTGACTAGAACCGTATCGTCATTTCTTGTTAGTTCTTTGATAAAACTTCTTTGTAGAACGCTATCTTGTGGTCCTGTATCCACGATTGCTGACATGAATTTATAATTTATTCTAATTGTGATGTGCAAGATTCCTATGTTATTGTTCTTCCCCAGGGTTAGGATGGCAGGGACTTCTAATTTTGCCATCCTTTCTCGTTTGGGTTTTGTCGTCGGCTTGTACAGGTGTTTGCGTAGTGACCCTGTTTTTTCACAAACAAAGCAACCAGGATTGTTTTTGCTGTTTCATGGCGTGTACGATTTGTTCGTTTGAGGCTGCCTTCTGCATACTGTTTCAGTACATCCTGTTTTCCCACAGTTGTAACAAACGGTGGGCAACTTTTGACTCCTACATACAGCTGCGAAATGGCTCCTGTTTTTCCGCAATTATAACACGTTTGGTTAGTGATTGGTGCTCTTGTGTGTTCTACCTGCAGTCGAATTCTGCAGGTGGCCATTACATGTCCTCTTTCTCCACAATAATGACATATCTTCAGCTTTGTGTCTGGGATTGTATTTCTTCCTGTATAGCGGGTAATTTGGGTATCTTGAGTTGCACCTTTCTTTGGAGCTTTGTCTAGCGTGTCTGCTATTTTCTTTAATTATATAAGTGATATTGGTGGCTTGTTCGGCGGGTTTGTTAGGCAGTAGTAATAATTGTAATGATCTGCCTCTGTCAACCCTTCGTTAAAAATCTTTACAAATTCTTGTATATCAAAGGTATGTGTGTAATTGTGGTATAATACTTGTAAATCGTACAAGTATTCCTTGACTGACTCATTTTGGCCTTGTTTTCTGCATTCTACTTTTTTCTTGAGTGCCTTTGGGTAATCTGTATCCTCAAATTCCTCGGAAAAATCTTTGACGATGTCTTTCCAGCTGTTGTTTTGGTGGTCGCGCTTATATTCCTAAAACCACAGGTTTGCGGCTCCGTCCAAATATGTTTCAAAATAAATTATTTCCAGCTTTTCGTCTCATCCATTTGCTATCGCTGATCTATCGTATATTCTTAGAAACTCGATCGCGCTGGTTTTACAGGGCTGGAATGTTTGGTGGCTGCTAAATTGAGGCAACTTCGCCTATTTTTCCGCTGTCATGGCATCAGTTATTGTGGTGTTCTCCATTATATTAGATGGTTTCACTTTGTCTTTTGATGGTTGATGGGGTTTCGGTGCTTCTTGAAGGGTAAGGTCTTGTGGGCTGCCAAAAACACTGTCTCCTTC